AGAAAGTAAAATCTAATTAGAATCGGTTAAAGAGGAATTGAAGCAAGCAAGCACAACAAAACAAAACTAATCTGACTATTATAGCTTCTGATGGTTTCATTCCTTGAATAGGAAGTGAGTCACCTTCAAAGAACAGGATTATTTGTAGTGACTTTTTTTTGGGGACTGATAAGGTATAACTGAAGTGACTTTTCAAAGAGGAATGAGTAATTCTTATGGAATAATCACAGAAGGCCTTTGATTGTAGCTATGCATGTGGCTCCCAAAGCGATCAAAATGCTACAGAAATGCTACAGGAATGCCCTTCCCATATAGTTGGGAAGTCACTGGTTGAAAAGAGACATCAAATGGAGCAGGCAAGCTAGCTGATTTAACCATTCCACCATATTGATACATTTTTAGATCTTAAAAAAATCAGATTCATGAAATGATTAGCAAGTGAAAGACCGATCTCTTTGCACCAATACTCAAATACTGTTGCAAGATTGGTACTGGAGCATGGTTGAGACCAATGTGAAAATACGAATGCCAGATCCACAATCTTTGGAAACAGAAGACCCCAGGCCTCATTAACAAATACACAAAAAGAAGTATATTTAAAATGCTCCTAATTTTTTCTTAGTTGAAGTTCCTATATTCTCTTAGTTGAAAACAGAATACACCTAACCTTAGGAACTGCGTCAGCAGCAACCAACTTCCCAACAGCAATGATTACCAATTTGCATAGGTGAGGGGTAGTTTTGACCCTTTTCTGTTGAAACAGTTAAACTTAGCCATAGGGCTTTAATGGCAATCTAACAAGAAAGTATAGATCAGGACTACATGGCATCTCAATTCTAATTCAAATTTCTTTAATAAATAAAAGTGCTATGATACAAAGCATGATACTAAAAATTAATTGTTCTAGATGCAGGCTTTTTTTGAAACTGGTTTAAATATAATACTGTTAAGAGCCATACAATATTCCTCCATACAACAGTAAGATGTGAGCTAGAACTGCCACGAATTGAAAGAAAACAACGAATGGGAGAGCAAAAACCACCTGGAATATGTAGTTGGCGTTAACAAAGTTTCCAGAACTTTTGAAGAATGGATTCATCTGGAGAGTACCCCAAAGCTTCTAGCTCTGTGGATGCAAGGGTTGCTTTCCTGAAACAGCCACCATTGTTCTGAAAAAACAACACAAACCTAGACCAAGAAAAACAATAAACTCAATTAACCAAAAGAGAAAATAGAAGGCACTGACAGGAGATAGGTGGAACATAGATGTTTGGAAAAATGGATACCCTACATGCAAGTTGACTTGCACGAAGACCTTCCAGAGATTTATTAGTCAGGAAGGACTTAAGTATTTCAAATAAGGACTGTGCCATAGTTTATGATAAGAGTGTAGGCATCAGTAAACATGCAGACGCATGTTAAGAAGAAGAAATGCAATAACCTAAACAAGTAAATTAAAGCAGTTGTGGTGGCAAGACTACGAAAAAGAATTATTCAAACTACAATACACCCACCTCGTCATCAATACTTCTGAAGTTTTTGAGAGTCTCTGCAAGATCTTTATGCAAACTTTCAATGGAAATTTGCCTTGACAAATGAAGTTCATACAACCTGTTCAAGTCAACAAGCAGTGAGTATTCATCATCACCATCACCATCCTGCAATGACAACAATTGCACATTTGACCAAGCTGCATCAATAGAACACAGTCACCTTCAATTTGTTAAGGGCACATACAGGAACTTCTTTTATAGCAGATTTAAGTTTGATAATGAGCTCATCTTCAATCCCCTTTGATTTGTTAAGGACGAAGTCCTGTAACTCCCCACGACTCTCAGTAGCACAGAAGTTCAATGCTTTTACACAAGATTCTACGAGCTTCCTTCTCACCATTCTGAAAAAATGCCTCTTTCACCAGAAGGACAGAAGATTTAAAATCCTGGAAAAGCAAAACAAAACAGATTTTAGTTACCAGTTCAAAAAAATTTATTTCATATTGGCAATCCCCTATACAGTTCATAATCGTAATAAGTTCCACAAATGCACCTGAAGGAAGACTTGGCAGACATCTGTGGGAGCATTTAATGAAATTCTCCATCTTAAATATTACACTTCTCCATACTGCACTAATGCCTATTTCTGGAACAATGATACGTTGACAATGAGCTCATCTTCAATCCCCTTCAATTTGTTGAGGGTGGTGTAGTCCTGTAATTCCCAACAAATTCTCAGTAGCCCAGAAGTTCAAAGCTTTTATACAAGATCTCAGAGCTTCCCTCTCACCATGCTTAAAAAATGCCTCGTTCATCAGAAAGACAGCAAATTTAAAAATCTGGAAAAGCAAAAGAAAACAGCTTTGAGTTACCAGTTCAAAAAAAAATAATTACTTCATATTAGCAATCCCATATATAGTTCATGATAGTAATAGGTTTCACAAATGCACTTAATCTTGTCTTTTAAGAGAATAGAGCTCTAGGTTCATATGAACAATGAGTTCAAGAAGATAGGGAATTTTTTGCTTTGTCAGACATAAATTTGCACATAAGCTGTGGATAATTCCTCATCATAGCAATGGTTATATCATGCATAGAACTTTCAAACACGTCATGGCGATTACAGCATAAGCATTCAAAGAATTCAGTATCCCGGAGTAGTATGGTGGAACAACACCAACATAATTTGTCATTGACAAAGAACACTTAAGAAGGAACCTTACCAAATTACCTCAAACATCATGTTCAATAGTCCAGCCATTGCAGCTTTCGGATCCTTCTCATAGTGTTCCACCCAATGCTTGGTCTTTTCTCAAACAATAGCGATTAGCTAGAAGCTCCTTTTCTAGGACAGTAAGTTTAGTCCTCCATGGTGATGATGCAACGAAGACCTTCCCCCTTCAACATTAATTCAAAAGCCTTGTAGATTTCAGAATATGGGAAGTGTATGACTGATGAATTTCTCCAATTCAAATTCCTTATTCATGCATTTCTCAACAACAGAAGGAATATCCGAACGAGGTTTGTAGTTTCCAAAGAAGGTTCCTTTGAGAGTCCTTTCATGTAGAAAGTTCATAGGGTGTGTCTTGAACACAGCTTCCTTATGGGGTATACCAATAAGAACAGCCACTCCCCACCCCTGAAAATTAATTACGACAATGTTCATTAAGATTATTGTATAAATAAGAATATACAACTAAGGAACTATCTTTTTACACCAATAATAAAAAGATACAATACAATTCCATCCAACTTTATGGATGGAATTGGACAAAAGTAAGTTGCTATCTCACTAGACAAAAGAACAATATTTACTTTCTAAAAGATAAAGAGAGACCCAAAAGCTATAGTCAAAAATATAAAACCAAGAGAAAAGATAGTCGAACAATTACATACATAAAATCAGTCAGAGCAAAGTCAAGGTGAACAGATGGCCAGAACATGCACACTGGCAAATGCAAAGATCAGCTCATAATCATGGAACTTCGAAATCAAACTTACCAGTCATCCACTTCAAGAAATCCCATAAGCAAGCCCAGGGGTTGACTATTTTCTAGCTCCGAGGAGCGCTCAGCAACTGCATCTGTTTCCATGTCAAATGTAGCATACAGATCCACCGTCACATCTCCTTGCTTCTCTTCATCCATGAGATCCTTCCCAGTAGCAGCAACAATTATTCTACCTATTTTGTTAGCCTACATGAATCCAAGAGGAAAGCTAAAATAACCCACTAACCAAACAAGCACGCAAAATTTCAAGCTAAAATACCCATATTGAACAGAAGTATTCACACTAGAAAATGTTGGAACCTCATCAAGTCTTTTAGCTAAAAATGCATTGTAATGGTCAAAAGCAGCAGCATCCTTGGGAAGTAAATGTGCATAATTGAAACAAAAACCAGGTCGCCAGTAGCAATAAGTTGAATTAAATCCAATAGTCCAGGTTACCTACCAAGAGCCAACTAGAAAGCCCAATTAGGCTTTGGGCCTTTCACAACTCAAATTAATCAGTAGATGCTTTTGCTTTTGCTCAGAATAAGCAACTTCTTATATCAATAAACAAGAGTATGTAAAGATCCTACTTATTATCCCAAAAGGAGAAGACACATAAATAGCATATTGTTTCCCTGTATTCATTTTATCAAGCTTACAAGTCTCTGCCTTTTGTTGCCTCCCTAGTGCCCTTTGACACCAATCTCAGGGAAACATCCTATTTTATTATTATATTAAATGATCTTTTAGATGATAACATTCATATCATCCTTTTACAAGCAGTATGTTGTACATAAAAGAAGCCACGAAAAAACTACACGAGATAATCTTAACTCCTTAAAAATACTTTGGTCCAACGAATAACAGTGCCTTTAATTATCTATTTTGTTTTACTATCATAATTCACATTAGTCGCCAGCATCATCAGAAGGCATCGGTATCCTATACTCTTAGTTATGTCAATGTGCAAGAGATAATAACCAAAATCACCAAGTCAAACTCTTAGTTTTTTGATAAAATACACAACTTTTTCTACATTCTTTTTGACAAGGTAAATTTCTCGATTTGTGCATGTCATCCAAATTATATTTACACATAAAGAAGGTGTCCGATAAAATACACAGTTAAATTACCATCTACAGCTTGTGAAATAGTTAATAAATAACAAAACCCATTTCTGCAAGAGCAACATAAAGAGAAAAAAAACCACTCAAGCACGAAGAAAGACATAATACTTGCTAGCAAGAAAGGTGGATGTTCATGCACTCTTTTATGCACAACAGTTATTCAGAGCTTATTTAAAGCCTAATGTTCACTACAAAAGTTAAGTATCCTTTTTGGCACTCAAATCTTTAAAGAAATTGTAAAGCGGAGGAGGAAAAGGTGGGTTGAGGTAACCAAGTATACAGATATACTCACATGCTATCAACATAAATGAAGTCTCTTTTCACCAGCAAGGCCGTCAGCTGATAAAGTTCACTTGGAACAGGATCATTTACTTCCAGGCGTTGGAAGTATTGAAACTTAAACCCCAGAATCTGGGAGGCATGGGACTGCAAATAATGGAGAGAAAATGGAAAACAAATGCACTTTCAAGACTGGGAGAGCTCCACAAAACAAGAAAACAATAAGGCAACCACAATTATACCTTGGGAAATATGGGAATCAAGTCCAAAAATATACTATTTACCAGGCTGACGTTCAAAACACTCCAAAACCTGTATAATCACAGGCCAAAGATAGAACTGAACACTGACCTTTCAAAGGTTTAAAAGGAATGGAAGTCAAAAAATGGATTAAACAGAGTAGAAATGTACGATATCATTATGGATAAAGAACGTACAATATCAAAGACTCGGTTTGGATCCAAATCAAAGTGCCCAATCAACAACTGCATATGGTCCAAGAATTAGAAATACATAAAAATAAGATTTCAGCTACCAAAGTGCTGAGTTGAAAATAAACCTTGATATAAGCCAACTGTAGCAGCTGAAGCATTATGCTTAGAACCCTCTGGAATTTGACAAAGGAGAGTGACCTACAATTACAGTCAATGGAAGGTCAAAATAAAGGAGAAAACAGAAGTTGAGCTACAAAGAAGTGGAGACGAGGAAAACATCACCAAAAGCAAGCATGAACTTCTAAAATTTGCCTAATCTAAAGAACAAACACATAGAGAACTTTGCTTTGTACAAAGCAAGAAAGGAATGGGATAATCCTTTTGCTTGGAAGGAGAAGTGTGAGTTCGGTCTTTCTTCCCTTACTTTAATCCATTGACTAAAGAAAGGGAAAGGATGAAAGTTCGCACCAGACACTCCCTTGTATCTGTAACCATCAGTGTTTAAGGGCAACCAGTTTTCAATGGACAGGCAGAAGTCCTCCAGTCACCTCCCACACTTACGTGTCATTTAGTTGCACTTAATGGGGTCTGAATCTGAATGCTTCAGATCTCGGTCCATTAAGTGCATTTGTTTTTTGCATTTTAAAATCTCTTAATGAGGGAGGCAAGACTGAAATGATTCGGACATGCGAAGACAAGATTGCGCATATGCCCCATAGAGGAGGTGTGAGAGGTTGTCTATGGGGGTCTAAGGAGAAGTAGAGGTATGCCGAAGAAGTATCAGGCAGAGGTGAGTATACAGGACATGGAACACAAACAGCTTACCGAGAACATGATCCTAAATAGGAAAATATGGAGGCCGAGGATTACAGTAGAAGGTTAGAAGGTAGTTGAGCATTGTCTAGTTTCCCTCATCACTATTATTAATATTACGCTCCTATCTTGTTCTTCGATTTTATTGTTGCATGTTTGCTTTGCTTCAGTTATCGTACTATATGTTGTTACTATTGTTCTTTTCTCCATTATTTTTGATCTCACTGTTTTACTATTGTATTTCTTTTTCATACTAACTTTTATATAAAGTCATATTCTTTAATTGAGCTGAAGATCCATCGGAAACCTCTCTAGCTTCAAAAGGTAGGGGTAAGGTGCGCCTACACACTACCCTCCTCAGACACCACTTGTGGGATTACACTAGGTATGTTGTTGTTGTTTAATGGGTCTGAACGGACCTGAATAAATCACATTTCAGACATATTTAGAAACGCTACTTTTATTTCCTGAAAAGTTCACGCTTCTCTTTTTCTCTTCAACAGAAAATTTCATACCTCTTTTATATTCAAGAATGGTAACAGTATATTTAAAAACACTAAGGAAGTGTTATACCATATTTACAGCAACAGAATAGATCAAAAGTGATCTATCTACAGACTACCTAACATATCTAACAGAGAATCTGTATTCTCTACATGGTTTAATTTACACCAAATATAAGACAAAATGATACAATTCATCTTAACTTTTTGCATAGAATTGCATGTCTAAAAAAATTCTGAGTTCCTCTCAGACCACCATATGCAAGCAGGGACCACTCCACCACTGTTTCTGTCTCACTATGTTCCCCTTGTTGTTCCAGGTTCTAGCAGATCAGCAGAATTAACAGACATAGTCCATCTACACCCCCACCAAGTTTAGGAATATAGCCACAATTGCAAGTGAAAGACAATATAAACAGATGGCCATTGGATTTTAAAGCTTTTCCACATAAAACACACCTTGAACACAATTGAAAGCCCTCTGTTCTTGAGTTTTCTTGAGTTAGGCAAGCTTCTCTAGCAACCAGATAGGAACTTTAGCCTTCCAAATACACTTCCATGGCCAATTTACAATGGATTGGCCTGCCTGTGAAAGGTTAAGATGCTCTGATTTAACAGTACAAATCCCATTCTTGTTTTTGTTCCAATAAAGAGTATTCTTCCTCCTTTTTGAAGCTTCTAAGCTAAATTAAAAATCATTAATTCTCCCCAGATCCCAATCATTTAAACCTCTCCTGAAGATGATATTCCATCCATTCAATCCCCAAGCACTATCCAGTTTGATGTCAGGAAGTGATGCTATAGAAAAAGAACTCAGGAAACATGTCTTTTAGTGTACCATGACCTACCCATTTATCATGCCAAAATGAAGTCCTTCTCCCATTACCCACCCTTGTACTAGTATTCATCTTAAAAGAATCGCATAGTTGCCTGCTAGCTTTCCAGACCCTGTCCCATGAGGGTTGTTGATTGGACTTGTACATCACTGATCTGTGTGGTTCTATTTTTCACCAATGACTAAACTCCACAAGGCATCAAGGTCAGAATTGTACCTCCACAACCACTTCATGAGTAAGCTTTGATTATGTGCTTCTAAGTTCCTACGGTCCATCCCCCCTTCCTTTTTGCTGGTAATGAGAGATTCCCAATTAACCAAGTGCATGCTCCCTATCTTCCTCACTCACGAAAGCTCTCTCTTTAAAATTGAAAGACAAAAGTAAGAACTCCAGTTAAATAGCCATCACCCATTTTTCTCTTTTTTTCATTGCTAATTTATTTTGGATTTACATACTGCTTCCTTTCACTTTTACTTATATACAATACTAGAAATAGATAACTTTTACTTGTCCAATTTGGAATGCGAAGAGATGATTTGTCATTTTAGACCTATTTTACATTTATTAAGTACTAATCATTTCATTTCCCAACATGTAGCTGACTTATAATAATTAGGGGTGATATAGCAAAATTTCCATTTTATTGAATTTAAAAGAACAATACATAATACAGGATAGTATACAAAGAGAAAAACATAATTTCCACCCGTGCTTTCAACAATAATTGAGGAAGTCAAGCCTAAAATTTATATATAATCTCAAACTGCAATAATAAAAACTACAGAACATTAGTCCAACTAGAAGACCACAACTTCCATTCCTCCTTTCAACATAATAAAATTTCAGAATGACACACAAACTAGAAGACCATAATCTCCACTGTGCTTTCACCAATAATCTAGAAACAAAGCCTAAATACCTGTAGATTCTCAAATCCAAATTAAAACATCAAAACTACTGTAACAAAACCTACAAAACAGCAGACAAAATTTATAATACCAATTAAACACTGATGAGCATTTCTAGCAGAAGTGCCTCCTAAAGCCTTACTCGGACGATTCTTCTCTCTCTTCCTCATTCACAGTGTTGTGTAATTGCCCTTCGTTAACCCTAGTTGGAGTTCTCATTCGTTTTTGTACACGATTAACTCAATAATTACGTCTCAACTATTACCTTAATCAGTTGAATACGTTGAAATAAAAAACCAAACTCACCATACAACAGATTCGCTGTTTCCAACACTCCTCCAAGAATTGCTGTTGCTGTAAGCCCTAGAAACCGAAGCAAAAAAGCGTGAATTATACAGAAGAACGAGACGGTGAGAAAATGCAGAGAATCGCTGTTTCCGACTCACCATACGACGATTGCTGTTTGCGACACCACTGGTTCATCCTCCGTGAATTGATGTTGCTGTAAGCCCTAGAAACCGAAGCAAAGATCAGAAACTTTCCGAAACCCACCAAGAGAGAAACCCTATATAAAAAACCAAACTCACCATAGGACGATTCGTTGTTTCCGACACCACTGGTTCCTCCACAATAGCACCAGAGTTTTCAGAATCCTCGAACGATTCTTCTCTCTCTTCCTCATTCACACTGCTGAGTAATTGCTCTTCTTTAACCCTAGTTTGAGTTCTTGTTCGTTTCTGTACACGATTAACCCAATAGTTGGGTCTCAACTATTGACTTAATCAGTTGAATACTGTTGAAATAAAAAACCAAAGTCACCATACAACAGATTCGCTGTTTCCAACACTCCTCCGAGAATTGCTGTTGCTGTAAGCCCTAGAAACCGAAGCTTATACAGAAGAACGAGACGGTGAGAAAATGCAGAGAATCGTTGTTTCCGACTCACCATAAGTATAAAAGGTTTTAAAAATCTATAAATTAATTGACAGGTAAAAATTACATGAAGGGGAGAGATCAACTATACTTTTAGTTTTATAATATATTATGTTGAAAACTTTCTAAGGATAATATTAATTTTATGATTATTTTACATGGATTAAACATCAAATACTTTAAACATTTTTACGTGTTTGTCCTTTATTATTTTATAAAGTTTGAACTAAATTATTATTTTTTGTTTAACAATTTACTAATTCAACACTCCACATGAAATATTTAATATCAGGTGAATAAATGATATATTGATAGATTTAACTAATCTTTTATTCAAAATCAAAAGATTCAAAATATTCTTTACTATTTTAAATTTGCGTAAATTATAGTAGAAAATGATTTAAAGATAAAAATAATCTTAATTAATACAATCGCTATATTAGGTTTACTCAAACTGTTTATTAGATATTTTAAAATTTGATTTGAACTATATCATGAAAATATGAATATTTATGAAAAGGGTGTCACATTGATTTGAACTTTATCTGGTGAAGCATATTATGTGTAACTATAGTTATCATGAAATCAAATATTTTAAATTTCAAATTAAAAATTATATCATATATGTTAAAATCGTAATTTTGAACTTGAATTAATGTTATTATATAACGTTGTGAACAGTCTTAAATTTATTAAATGGCTTATAATTGTGATGTTGTTCAGCATAGAATTTAACGTGTCACTAACCAAAACGAGAACCTCCTAGGTGGGCGAACCAACAAATCCAACCCAACTTATATTAATTGTTCAAATTACGAAATACTAACCATAATGCGGAAGCTTAGATCTTATTAATATAATAAGAAATACAAATCCACTAGCGTCTATTAAATATCGTTTCCCAAAACCTGAAAGTCATCACATCGAGGACATCTAATCTCCAATTACTAAGTCTAACAATATCAAAGACAACAGGATGAATAAATAAAATAGTTTATGTCCAAAAACTAAGGACATCATGCCATGGCTAAGAGAATCCAACACGAGCTAGAATGAATAG